GCTGTCTACACTAAGGCTTCCCAGAAGGAAATGGTCATGGACAGAACAACTTGCATCTGAATCACAAAACTTTTCGGCCTCTCACTTTCTTCCTTTGTTTTCCTGTTGCGACTGTAGCTTGTTATCCTCCTCAGGAATCTAGATATTTGGTAACTCCCAGTGAGCCAGTTAGTTGCATCATAAAGCAGATTCAGTATGCAGTTTTTTGCCTATCTTTTTCTCGTTGAGCATGAACACGCTTACAATGAACAGCTTGAGTGCACATACCCTATGGAGTGAAAGACCCACCTGGGACACTTTTCTTCTGTTTTGATAGTGTAAAATATTTATTTACGTCGCACAGTTCCGAAGAGACAGCACATGGACGTCTTTGTCATCATCAGCATCAGCATCAGCATCAGCATCATCATCATTCATTTTAAGGCAATCAGCAGTGAGAGTGAAATCATAACTAGAGAGCATCATTACTGCTTGCTAGATGGCTTAACATGAGAGCCTTTTGGTGTGGTGTTTGGGTTGGAACTTGTGCATCTCTTTTTGCATAAATTTTGTGTGAATGCTCCTGCTTGTGGCATGCTCATTGTCAAAAAATTTTTTGCCAGTGAAATGGTTCTATTTTGTATACTATGAAATATATGGTATTGTTTTTGGACTTATGCCACTTTCTCCCGTTCTTCATTCAATGGACATCAAAGGAGACAGTGAAGAATCAGGCAGTATTTTTTTATTACATCAAATTAAGGAGACTCAGGGAATAGAAAAGTTCTCAGGTCATTATATGGCTAGTGATCTTGAAGGGTGATAGCATTCTTGAATATGCATCAAAACATCTTGACATGTAGCTTTCCAATTGTTGGAAACGAAGGTACTCAAGTCCGTCATACCACGTATCACAGTGATTCACTCCCATGTCATCAGTTGGCTTCACGCAATGCTGCCAATCTGCAACAGAGTTAAATCGCAAATTAGTAAGATACAATTAGGGAATCAAACTTAACTCCTATCATGTAAAATCACTGATTGATTCCAATTATTTCAATTTGTCTTGACTCTCTGATCCTGATTCAGAAGTTTGGTCAATACATTCAGAGGAATGCTGTGCAGATGTCTTACAACTGGAGGAGTAAGTGTATGGGTAAGGTGTGAAAACATTTCAAATTGATCCAAGTGAAGGAGAAATGAAGATACTAGTTTTCTTACATACAAGATTATGGAAAATTTCACACATCTTACAAACATGCAGTTGATCACAAACTTCATCTGAGAGAATGCACTGTATGGTGAATCATCAGAATCCAGTTATATAAATGGGTGATGGGCCACATAAAAATGTCATGGATAGTTCTAATAAAAGTTCATGTCATTCCCCAACACTGTTGGAGGATTCACCTTTAAAGCCTCATCTAGTCACACCCGAAATAACTTCTTGCAGGATGAGATATTTTCTTCCAGCCTCAGAATTAAAAGAGATTAAGTTCAAGTTTAGGATCATGAACTACTTGACAAAAATATGCTTTCTTATTTAGTGTAAGATACAACTATATGCAGTTGGACAAAAAAAGGCAGAAGACATCAAAACCAGTTCCTGACATGCTTCAAACAATGGCAAAGTGTACCTTGCAGTCAAATCTGTGATGAGTAAATACCAGAATAATGTTCCAAAGCTTTCAAATATTTCAAGTTGTTAGATGTAAAGAATTCCCATTTGTCCTTTTCATCATGTTAAATGCGCTGTCGTCTTCTCATGTCCTTCTCAAGAGTCACAAGTATGAATCCATATATGTAGGTGGCTTTTCCCAGCTTCATCAGATATGGCCAGCCCTCAACCTCTGTCCTGTCCCTTGCTCATGTTAGATTGAAGTGAGATATCTTTATCTTGACCCATATAGAATCCTAAAAAGGGAGTCCATTTTATTACAACCCATGTGAGCTGTTCATAGAAGACATCTGAAAGAGAATGAAGAGGATTCATACTTGTGACTCTTAGGAAGAATATAATATATAATAACTGGCACTGTTCACATCTGATCTGATTTTTCTAAAACCAATTAGGTCAATTTTGATGAAAAGTTGTGGAAAAACTGTCAGAACTCCTACCCTTCCAACCTTTGAATTCACTATGTATCCATTCTATTCAAATTTCTATGAACCCATGCTATAGTTCTCATTTTCCTCAACTAGTTTCTAGTTTTTGATAGGTAAAAATGAATATAAAATGTAGCAGGGAGTAAAGGCAACAAACACATTGTCAAAGCTCAAAGACTGGGAAAGTATGAAGCATCCTTTTGATTAGGCATATGTTTCCCAGCAAAACTAGAGCATGGCCAGTCTGAATTTAATGACTAAGGCAACGGATGATACTGGACCAGCTTTCCATAAGAGCTGCAGCAGAAGATCAAGAACAGCAGAGACATCACAATATCTCAAGTGAGGGGGAGCTAAGATAAAGCCAACCAGACTAAGAATGTGAAGCACCAAGTCAAAAGTCAGTTGTCAATCTGAAGAGGAAGAGTTTTTGAACCACATTTAAATCCAGAAGAATATATCTCAGCTTGTCCACCCACTAGACATATTTTTGATGTTTATGTTGTGGACCCTGAAGTTAGCACCAAAACTTCAGCATCATCTACTATCTTTTCCAGATGACTGAGAGTGTCTCTGCTCCAGAATCTGTATGTAAATATATTCAAATGTTATGGCCACCTCATCTTTCCGTCTGGCTGTGAGCTTTGACATTGAATTTGACGTGTTTGGTGAGACTAATTTCCATCAATATGGCCTTAAGGAAATAACAAAAAGACCATCTGCTTATGGAAACTTAAGCATGGGGGCAGTAGAATAATTCAAGCAGCAAAAAATCAACAACATTTATGCACATAAACCAAGACTATGCCACATTGGTTCATGAGAAATATGAGCCAATATTGACAGCAGTGCCTCTCAAATCTCTCTTCAAAACTCAACTCATGGTGGACTGTATTGTCTCACTTGGCACAAGCAAGTATTGATAACTTTCTTCTAGTTTGTCTAATCTTGAGAAAAGTTGAGTGCTTCATCAAGGGAAAATGCTTAGAACCTATCTATCATCTGAAAAGTTATGGAATCAAGTTATTAACCTTTATCGGACCAATGTCACAACTGCTGTGCCACAGAATGCATTTTTCCATGGCCTAAAGGTACAAATGCTGTACCACAAATTTTTGAAAAAATGCTCTGATATTAAATAAATAATTGCTTGGTTAGCAAGTGTTTACGAGCTTCGTAGAAAATATCTGGCTGTCAGCACTTATGCAGGAGATTCAAATCTGTCCAATAAAGGTTAATGCATGTACTGCAGAAGTAATGGATGTGACTCTGTGACTAGATAAAGAAAAAAAAGCTTCCAATTGTGATGGGGAGAAGGTTCTTTAAGCCATTTTTGCATCACAAAGCCATATCTCCAAATGGTACTGACTTCTGCAAATGATGCTGACACTGCCATTCTTGAGGTGGTGTCCTCATTGGGCATTACTGACCATATATTTCATCTTTAGTTTTTTATATATATGATATCTGAACTAATGAGCCATCTAAACTACTCTCAATAATTGGAAAATAGCAATTATTAAAATCAAACCTTCAGGTTGTTGGCATTCCCTGGTTTTCTGCACCCATGAGAATGTATTTACAAATTTTAAATGTGAGATATGCAGGCAATCTACATGAAATTCTTCACAGATTCAAAGAGCTTATAAGGTCTTGTGGGGATCTGTATATGTTCTGCTTTTTTCCTAAGCCCATTTCACACAACCATTTATGAGGGACGAACCTTCGTGAAAGCAAGTCCTCTTCTTGGGTGACACGGTCCTTCTCTGTGGATGCAACACTTCCAGCAGGGACTGCTTTTGCTGCAGCCAACTGATCCATTACTTCCAATCCAGCCTCTTCTGCAACTTGCTGAATGAGTGAATCCACTTGTTCCTTCGGTGTTGTCAGGGTTGTGGCTGTCCCCATGGCATCCTCCAAAACCTTGAGGAAAAAAAAATGTTAAAAAAATGTTCATGTGTGTCACAACACTGCCATGCATCACCTCTTCCCTTTGAGAAAAGATTGAGGAAGCTATGAGATTCCTTGTCATGGGGAAACAAAGGACAATGTCTGAAATCACTACCATGAACCCTTTGCACTCCACAGAGGAAACTTTTTTTTATCCTATTCACTCCAGGTAAAAAAAAAAAAAAAAAAAAAAAAGTATG